GAACATGGGTAGTTACGTCCTTCCGCCCGCGGATATCAGTTTACCATACCTTACACAGGTCCAGGGAATCCTCCCTGCTCCGCGGGAGAGGCTGACGCTGCTTCAGCGGAACAGAGAGGACCTAGCGAAGTACAAAAGCGTCCTGCACTCTGGCAGGCCAAATGTAAAGAATACAAGGACACCGAGAGACAAAGGTACAAAATTAATACTACCGGCAACAACCGTAACAACGTAACCTCTGTAGCGGCCAGCGGCCAGCTGTTAATGTTTTGGCGCGGGCGATGGTGATGCCAATGGCGTATCGAAACGCGGATGAAGCGTACGCACTGAAAAGGGTAAAATTAGTTAAACTGAACTTCATTGCGATTGCTGTAATAAAATTGAGTGCTTACTATTACTAAAACTAAATATTACGGCATGTAGCCATCACTTACCGCGCGATTTCTATTTAAAATTTGATTTTGTAGCTTAAGCGCGTCTGGCTACGTTGGACAGACGCTTCGGAAACGCAGACGCGAAGCGCTGCCCGGTAGCGCTGCGTGTGGTTTGATTGGGCGCACGCGTCCCGCTTAGCGCGCGCGCCAAGCCGAGACGCGCGTCTAGACGCACTGAAAAACGCACCATGTGGGCTAGGCTTAACGCTAACACTAAGGCACAGCGCTTGCTTTAATATGGGAAATTTCGGTTTAAATCGGGGCAGAAAAAAAAATCATGTCTCGAACACCTATATATATAAACGAACATATGCAATAACTTAATCCAACGAATAAAAAAAAATCAAATTTTTTACGAACCCGCCGAAAGCCGAAATTAACGGCGGAGCCAGCATCCTGGCTCCGCCGTTTATTTTGGCTTTCGGCAGGTTCGTAACACTGATTCATTGGATTAAGTACGGTTCATTCATCTGCATATGTTCGTTTATTTCCTCCTCGAAGATCAGGTACGATGCTGAAAAAGCGCCCGTCATGTAACGGAGTGACTCCAGCTAATTCAATGCTATTAGTACAACCCTCGAATTTTTCCCTGTACCTTTCCGCATTACCTGTGGATGAGTCAACGGGTCATGACCTTCAACAGGCACTTTCCACCTGTTGCTCCTTTTTAAATCATCTGGGACTGTAATTAATAGTGTCAAACTTGCGTGCGTTTTTGTTGTTTTTTTTTAAATTTTATTTGGGCATTTTTACACGTGATTTGACACGTGACGCGACCCGGGCGTGGAAAGCGAAAATAGATCTGTGACCGATTTTGGCAGCCAGTCTTGCAGAAGGCCTGGCTCAGGTCGAAACGTCGACCAACTTTACGAATAATATGTTTTAAAAACTCCAACCGTCTCAGGTGCGTTTTCTTCCGTATATACTTTTCGTCATCCCGCGCTACGTTTTTCTCTCTCTGTCTTTCTCTCTCTCTCTCCTCTCTCTCTCTCTCTCTCTCTCTCTCTATATATATATATATATATATATATATATATATATATATATATATATAACTGAGAAGAAAGAACCCTTTGTGGAAACAGCAACAGAGGACGATTTATTCTTGGACGTTTTGGCTGGAGTCCTGACGAAGGCAGGACTTCGGCCGAAACGTCGAAGAATAAATCGTCCGTTGTTGCTGTTTTCCTCAATTGGAAAACTGCAGTAACGGACGATTTTCTCTCATTTATATACCCACGCCATCGGCCTCCCGCCACCACGCCCGTTATATATATATATATATATTAGGAAGAGAGAAGAAGTGGGGCTCAACCAAAAAGCCCCGCGCATCTCAGGCAGCAGCGGAAACGTTCGAGGTGTGCTCGGACGATTCCTCCAACGATTGTACTGGCGACACCATCATCGTCAATCTCTCTTCCTTGTAGTAAACTCATCAATTCACCAAGAGCCTGACAGATTGGTCGAGGTCTGCGGCTCCTTACCTCTCGCAATCGCCGTCAAGACCTGGAGAGAAATTCGTAGCGAACGCATTGCCCGTCCACTCGCCATGCCCGATGAACAAAGAAACGCGATTTGATGATCACCACTGTGATCATCAAACACCGCCAGCGGGCCCCTCTGATGTTCACGGGATGTCCTGACTCAGACGTGGAGGAGTGGCTATGAACGGGTAAGCCAGCACAACGGGTGGGATGACTCATTTAAGCTCGCCAATGTCGTGTTTGCCCTCAAGGATACTTCCCTTCGGTGGGTTGACAGCCACGAAGAAGCCATAAACTCATGGGACGGCTTCGAGACAGGTCGGATTGGCTCCCTCTTAATTCGATGCGCTACCGTGGATTAATGTAAACGCAGGTAGTGATGAGTAAATTTTCTAAATTAAAGAACCAATCATATTCAAGAGAAAACTAAAAATAAAAGGCTGCTGCAAGAAAGGCGCTGACGCTAAAAGAAATTAAGCATGCAAGTTGGTACTTGGGAGCCCTGCCTGCAATAAAAACGCGTGTGCATTATGACTCCGTCGCTTGTTTAAGTCCAGTCCTCCAGTTGTTTGAATGAATACAGAATACTGCTCCAGCAAATACAGTAGTTCATTATATGCTACAGGTTTTTTTTTCGGGACCACATTTTTTAGAAAATCTAAATTAATCGACGCTCAGGATTTATTAATTAGGGGTTATGGTCCTTTCAAACGCCTGACGATATTTTCTTCGAAAAACAAACTACTGAACCACTCAAATACTGATATTATGGTGATTGAAGCATTCCTCTAAGAGTAACAGTAATGGAGAGCAAATCAAGATATAGACCGACACGCGGAGCGGCTCTGTTTACCAACACGGCCGGAAGGCCGCGCATGCGCGGTAGCTATGTGGGCAAAAGCAGCCCGGCTGTCCGTGTTTTCGCCATTGCGCTCTATGGCGTGCGCTCGTTGTTGACGTTGTAGGGACGCTTGTATCTTTATTTGTCCGTCGTATTTCCTCATAACGTATGTCGTATGCTATGCCCGACTATTTGAGCTCGTTGCCCGAGCCTGAACGGTAGCGGTATCGGAGCAAACTGTGCGTGGACGGCGTTGCCTACGAGGATCCGTACGCCGTAAACAAGACCTGCTGGACTTCCGACGTAAAGTTGCTGCCACGGACGTCAACGGCTCAGGTCGTCGTTTATTTAGTTTTTTCGCCAAGCCAGTTCACGGCCGACACGGTGCAGGCGTACAAGTCTCTCGAGGTCTACGATTACATCGAGTCGGTTTCCGCACTGCCGGCGGGATCAGCAGACTGTGGGTCTGCGGAAGTGTGTGTATTCATTAATTGATTAAATACACAGAGCGTCTTCAAGTCAAGGTATGATATTTTTCATACCCTCATGACCACAAGGCATTACAACCAATAAAGGTCTGTCCGTTCTGCACTCTTGACGGTAACAGGTTACAAGTAACGGCGTTACCAGGAACGCGTTACTTCTTTCAGTAACGTAGTACCCTACTCGTTACGTTTTCGGCACAGTAACGGGTAACGTACTTATGTTACTATTTCAAGTATTACGTTAGTCTTTACTACTTCCCAAGTCTTAAAGAAATTACACTTCAATTGTTTCCGTGTTTTAGGCGTCAAGCCATGTTTTTCTTTGCGTTTTTTCTCGTAAGTATTTAAGTGAAACCGTGAAAAGAGCTAAAGTAATTATGTTCAGTTTCTGCATGAACATAATGTTTCTTGATATATGACCTGTATCGTCAAAACCGTAAAATGTGTTACATCATAATTTAGAAAAGTAACGCAGAAGTAACGTGCCTTACTGTTTATCGGTAGCGGCAACGCGTTCTTTTATTTTTAGATAACGTAGCTCAGTAACGCGTACCTTTTATTTGCAAGTAACGAGTAACGTATTTCGTTACTTTTTTTTTTTTTTGTAACGCCTACAACACTGCCGTTCTGTCGTCGATCCCCTTCTGCACGGTAGCACGGGCGTAGCGAGCCTCCGACGAGCGCTTGGGGGGTGCCCGGGTGCGCTGTGCGCGAACACCGTGGAAACAAAATCCGGGTGGTCTCGATCAGACAACGGTTTCCCTGCACATAGGCAAGCCTCGGGACGGAGATTGAAATGGAAGCCGCACTTGCCTCCAAGAAAGTGTTTGCCGCACAAACAGTCGTTCGTGCGAGGCGACCATTCTTTTCGATCCACAGATATTATCCACCTTCTATGCGTTTCAGAGTCTGCCGGGAACTTGTCGAAACTCACTCCACTGCTTTTCTTGTACATTTCGGTGCAATTAACGGCAACGCAGCTTCGCGGCATGCTGAAATGCTATGACGCCCATGCGAAACGTGCGCGCTTTTGCCCACACCCCCCGGCTCCGGCGCGATCGCAGCGCCGCCGCAGCTCCGTGACGTCAAGCCCGCGTGTCGGTGTATAGAAAAGGCTTCCCTTTTGGTTATGTGAACTGAAAACTCGAGTAAAAGTAAAACGCAAAAAGAAAACCAAAGTACTCGGCAAAAACAAAAAGTAACTTGTAGAAGTCCGTTTTCGATACCCCAGAAGAAAAAACGTGATTAACAAACGTTGGCCCACCGCAGTCAAACAAATGAAGAATCCAAAATAATGCACCATTACGAAATAAAATTAAAAGTAAATATTTAACAGCGCGACAACCCGCAGACGGGACAAATAGCGTGACGTCACGGAGTCACTGGACGGGGCCTTGAGTCAGTCTAGATGGTCTTGCTCAGGCCCACGTAAACCCCGAGAGAGGCGGCGTGCTGCAAAAGTCAATCGAAGACATAGATACCGTATACAATTATTGTCTAAGCTGTATAAACACACAACGAAAACCGATTGAGGGCAGCCCTTGAAGGTTTTCTTCCGTAAGCGGAAAACACCAAACAACGACGACGCACGGCAATAAGCAACAAAACGTCACAGGATTACCTTGGATCAGCCCAGAGAACGGGACGAGTTGCGGTCCGTGTCTTCGGCGTGACCTCCTGTCGTAGAGGGGGCACGGCGGTCATCGCGTTCCCTTTTCGGAGCCGGCTTTGCTCTCGGAAAGAGTGCTGTGCAGCGATGACGCGCGCGGAGGATCTGGTCGATCCTGGAAACCCGGTCTCCTGGAACAACGGCTATGGCCTGTGGCTTCTGGCGTGCCTTGTGCCAGCCGCGGGCATCGCATTGTTCCTATTGAAGGTCTACGTACTGGCTACGGTCGGACGATGCACCTCCACGAGGGACATGTCCGGCAAGACTGTAGTCATCACCGGGGCCAATGCAGGTGAGAACGTCTCCTCCTGTGTCGGGGAGGAAGGGCATTTGAAGTTATATTGCAGTATTGAACAATATGAGCGAAGAAAACTCTCCTTCTGCTTTAATGCTGTGACTGTGGTATTCACAATTTCCATCTGCTTTCGATTTGTCGGAGTTTGGAACCTAAACTTCGAACACTAACTCAGCATCATGCAGCCAGAGCGTCTTTAACGACTGGCAGGTGATCCCGATAGGCACCAGCCAAATATAAGGAAATAATTTATATATGGGTGATTTCATCTCAACTCAGGCACGGATTTCGGGTCAAATTTTTAATTTTGACGTAAAAAATATGTGTTTTCGGGCGATTCCTATAATAGAAGACGCAAACGGCAATGTCATCGGATTTTTTGTTCTCAAAGTTATAGACCGTTGAAGCGGCCAAGGTGGAAACTGACGTTTTTCCAGCTTATCGGAGGTGCCATATTTCACTCCATCCCTTTCCCCTACTTTTTACGCTACATCAATATAACTTTTGGGAACACTCTAGACACAGGCCTTTTCATGCTAATTAAGCGTCTAGGTCATAGCATTTTTAATGATTTTTTTTATTTGTCAAACCGGCTCTCTGCGACGATATTTGACGAAGTTCAGCAAACTGTGCTGTGTGATCTAATCAACATATTTTTATGATCTTTATATCACCGTAAAGCTCCAATTAAGCTCTTCCCTTTGAGTATAATTTCAATATTTTGCAATAAATATATAATGCGTGCATGTGCCTGGAAAACGAAAATTTCGAAAAACTGGCAAGTTTGGAATCGATTTTCTAAAAACACCCACTTTTTATTTCTTTCATTTTTTATTCACAGTTAGTTAATATAACAGTCTATCAGAAACTACAAACAGAAATAGTAATATATTGTTTGTATGGCCGCTATTATGACTCGAACCTCGTGCTATGAGCGTTTTGAACGGGACTTCGTACAGGCGCTCTGCTGAGCAGAATTTTGGCTTATGTAAGGTTTTCGCTTTATCGTTGGCAGTTACCTCAACATCCGACCATAAACATTAATAAAATTTGGAGTAGTGTTATTAAAAAAAAAAATTTGCTTCGAAGTTCGTATCCACAAGTGCGGGTGTAGCGCTTACTTCCTCCCAATATGGGGGAATGCAGATCGTAAGAGAATTCCTTAAGGCCTTTTGCTTCCGGCTTTGAGTTTGAAATACCGAACTTGACATGTAATTGTCATATTTTCTTATTTTAAACAGATTTGCAGTGCATATACATATGTACGATTTAGTATCTGACGCATAGGAAGTACGTTTTTTTAGCGAGTTTTAGAATAGGGGGCCCCACAGTTTTGGGTGCCCCAAACAGCTTGGGGCGTCCCACTGCTTATGCGCAGAACTTCTGCGCATGCCCATTGCGATGTCCTGACCTGCTTGGGGCACCCAAAGGTTTGGGGCCCCTATTCTAGAACTCGCTATTTTTTGCGCGTACGGGTTCTTTCGTAAAATAACAAGCATTTCGTAGCGTGTAAGGCTTCAAACGTGTTAGACATGTGTTTAGGTTTCATTTCTATTTTCAGTGATTCATGCCGGGTTACTTAGACTTTTTCCTCTTGACTTAAGTTTGTCCGAGAGTTTAGATGTTACGTTTCTTCTCCGTCAATACATAGGGCGAAGCTGCACACACCGTGCAAATCACGTCAGTGCAAGTAAATAAATATTCTTAGGATAAATATTGTGTTGCTTCACTGGCTTTTAAGCTCAGATATTGAGGTAAGTTCTAACATTAAATAGAAAACATTACATAGGTCAGAATTCTGCTCAGATGAGCGTCTGTGCGAAGTCCCGTTCAAAACTCTCACAGCACGAGATTCGAGTCCCAATAGCGGCCATACAAACACTCTATTATAACTTCTGTTGGTAGGTCCCGGCAAACCACTATACTACCGAACTGTAAATAAAAAATGAAATAAATATAAGGTAAATTTTTTATAGAAAATCGACTTAGAACTAGCAAGTCTCTCTTTAGAAAAACTTGCAAGTTTGATGTCGATTTTCTGAAAAAACCAACATTTTATTGCTTTCATTTTGTTACTTACAGTTAGGTAATATAGTAGTCTGCCGGGACCTACCAACGTAAATTGTAATATATTGTTTGTATGGCCGCTATTCGTACTCGAATCTCGTGCTGTGTGAGGTTTGAACGGGACTTCGCATAGACGCTCAGCTGAGCAGAATTTAGACCTATGTAAGGTTTTCCATTTAATGTTAGTACTTACCTCAATATTTGACCGTAAAAGCCAGTGGAGCAACAATATTTATCCTAAGAATATATATTTACTTGGCACTGGCGTGATTTGCAAGGTGTGTGAGCTTCACCCTATGTATTGACGGAGAAGATAGGTAACATCTAGACTCTCGGACAAACTTAAGTCAAGAGGGAAAAGTCTAAGTAACCCGGCATGAATCACAGAAAATAGAAATGAAACCTAAACACATGACTAACACGTTTGAAGCCTTACACGCCACGAAATGCTTGTAATTTTACGAGAGTCCGTACGCGCACAAAATAAACCATACTTCCTAAGCGTCAGATACTAAATCGTACATATGTATATGCACTGCATATCTGTTTGACATAAGAAAATATGACAATTACATGTCAAGTCCGGTATTTCAAACTCAAAGCCAAAAGCAAAATGCCTTAGAGGAATTCTCTAACCATCTGCATTTCCCCGTATTGGGAGGAAGTAAGCGCTACGCCCGCACTTATGGATACGGACTTTGAAGTAAATTTTTTTAAGTACACTACTCCAAATTTTATTAATGTTTATGGTCGGATATTGAGGTAACTGCTAACGATAAATAAAAAAACCTTTACGTAGGCCAGAATTCTGCTCTGCAGAACGCCTGTGCAAAGTCCCATTCAAAACGCTCATATAGCATGAGATTCGAGTCTTAATAGCGGCCGTACAAACAATATATTACAATTTCTGTTGGTAGTTTTTGATAAACTGCTATATTAACTAACTGTGAATAAAAATAAAAGAAATAAAAGTGTCTTTTTTTAGAAAATTGACTTCAAACATGCCAGTTTTTCGAAATTTTCGTTTTTCAGGCACCATGTAGCGCATTATATACTTACCTCAATATATTGCAATTATATTCAAAAGAAAGAGCTTAATTTGAGCTTTACGTTGATATAAAAATCATAAAAATATGTTGATTAGGTCACACAGCACGGCTCACTGAACTTCGTCAAATATCGCCGCAGAGGGCCGGTTTGACAAATAGAAAGAATCATTAAAAACGCTATGACCTAGAGGCTTAATTAGCATGAAAAATCCTATGTCTAGAGTGTTCCCAATAAGTTATATTAATTTAGCGTAAAAAGTAGGAAAAAGGGATGGAGTGAAATATGGCGCCTCCGATAAGCTGGAAAAACGTCAGTTTCCACCTTGGCCGCTTCAACGGTCCATAACTTAAGAATAAAAACTCCGACAAAATTGCCGTTTGTGTCTTCTTTTATTATAGGAATTGCCCCAAATCATATATCTTTTTGACAAAATTAAAAATTCGACCCAAAATCCGTGCCTTACTTGAGATGAAATCACCCATATATATATATATATAAAGTGACTGTCCATTATCACATATTGCAAGAATGTACTGAAAGCGTGTTTAAAATGCATTTAGTGCTTTGTGCTTCGCTACCCAATGCACAACACATTCGTTTTTTTCTGGGCAAGAAACGAAACGAGAGAGCAGGCTGGGAAATGAATAATATTACATACTATCTTTCAGCGTTCTCACGACTGAAGTACAGTACGTAATTGTATATTCGCAAAATATATTTTGGTAAGGTATTTTGTATTTGTATATAAATACATTTTTAAAAGTAATTTGCCTATTCTTTGTGCGATACTCTGGTTCATATGCGTACGCAGTTAAAGTCTTCATTTTCTGCATCCTCGATTCGGCTAGGAGTTTCAAGACGGCTGGAGGTGCTAATTTGAGTCAATTCTTACTTTTAACTTTCCGAATAGGCTTAATTTCAGTTTTGATGCAAATTTTAGTTAGCTGTATGCATTCTAATGCGAGTGAAATGGGCAAGAGAACCTTCAACTGCTCTTTTTAGCTGAGAATTTCAGCTATACATTCAAAGCTGTGGAAAAGTGCGTTGCTGCATATCTAACCTAAAGGAACGACGCGGAGCCATGGTTTCCAAAACAAGGAACTACATTTAATGTTATAATAACGAACGAATAATGTAACACGAAAGAGTTGAACTGCCGCTGTCCATGGCCGGCCTCGGCCCGCAAGACTCCTGGGGACTCCTGGTGGTGTCCTTTTGCATCCGCGGTCCGGAACAACACCCCCCCCCCCCCCCCCCCACCCCCCTGAATGGCACAGGCGTCGCGCTAGCGTTGCTCCTCCCGGCGCGCAACCTGGTGGCTGGTTACTGCGGCGACTGGACTGTGGTGCCCTGGGGGTGCCCACAAAGTTTAATTTGCCGAATTTACCTTATGGCAGTTTGCTTTGGTTACTTAGTTTTAAATCAGTAAGATCGCATAGTTTAGACTCCTAGTCACACAGTAGTCACAATTGCTTGCGACTGATTGCCTTTGGTTAACTAGTTCCCTTTAATTTTGCAGAATTGAGTTGTGGTTGGCAAGTAGCTCGACGAGACAAGCAACACCAACGCTGAACTTAATATGCCTCAGACAAATATAACTTTCATGGGCCGTGGAGCTATCTATATAAGGTGCACGAGCTTTGAAACTCCGACCAGTGCCTCCTATATAAGTTACACTATGCCTGTCAGCTCCGAGCACTGGCAGGCGGAAGGGAGAGGGCAAATAGTACGTGTGGTCGCCGTGTGGTGGGGCCACCTAGGCATACAAACCTCCCATGTAGTGAAGCCAACAATCTCTTCCGTAGGAGGTTCAATGATGTCGCCCCAGCAGCACCGACAGCAAGAAATCTAAATGTTTTTGACTGGCAGCTCGGAACCAG